GTTTAAGATTTGCATATACTCCTTTGTTGCTTATAATTTATAAAATTGTTATAAGATTCACCCTTTAAAAATGTACAGTTGGGTGGTTTTTATTAAATTCAAAGGTGTGAAATCATCACTAATTTTAGGACGTTTTATCACCCCCAAAAGAAACCTTGTGTCCATTAGCAATCACTACCCCGACCCCCCACCCCTGACAACCACTAATCTACTTTCCATTTTTATGTATTTGCCTATTCTTGACATTTATTATGTGTTTTTTTTGTGTTTGGCCTCTTTGACTTAGCATATTCTTTCCAGGGATCATCCATGTTGTAGCATGTATTTGTATTTCATTCCTATTGTATTTTTTAACTGTTAAAATGTTTTTCTATTCCAATTTGAATAGCCTTAAATAAAAAAAATAGATGTTCTCAGAGTATGGGAAATTAAAAAGGGACAAAAAAAGGAGGCATCCTAACTCATTGTTTAAAATTATTTCTAGCCTGCCGAAACCTGGAGAGAATAGTACCAAAAACAAAATAACAACAACAGAAATGGATGTTGAATTTCAACTTTTTGGCATCTGTTGAGAAAATTAGGTTTTTCCTTTTTTAACTTGTTAATTCAGGCCATTATTTGGCTCTGTCTTTGAATTCTAGACTAACCATGCTTTGTCAAGGTGCATGTGCATGAGTGAGCGCATACATATTTTTTACAAGATGGATCACATTTACAAACACTTCACTTGGGATTCATAATTAATCAAATTTGTAGTTTGATTACATTATTTTTGTTAGGGGTTTTAAAAATGGTAAAATTTTGTAAAAGGAATCAAGAAAGCTTTTCTCCTCTGTCCTGGCATAGCTCAGATAGCTTTGGGGAAAACCTAGAGCTTTTTGAAAGGGTAAGAGACAACTGTCCTTTATTAAAAAATTCTTTGGGGGGGATGGTGCCTGGGTGGCTCAGTCGGTTAAGCGTCTGACTCTTGATCTCGGCCCAGGTCATGATTTCACAGTTCGTGGGTTTGAGCCCCACGTCGGGCTCTGCGCTGATGGTGCAGAGCCTGCTTGGGATCCTATCTCTCCTTCTCTCTGCCCCTCCCCTGCTTGTGCTCTTTCTCTGTTAAAATAAATAAATAAACTTAAAAAAAAAATTAAAAAAAATTTTTTTTTTCCTAGGGGCACTTGGGTGGCTCAGTCGGTTAAACGTCTGACTTCAGCTCAGGTCACGATCTCACGGTTCGTGGGTTCAAGCCCCACATTGCCTCTGTGTTGACAGCTCGGAGGCTGGAGCCTGCTTCATCTTCTGTGTCTCCCTCTCTCTGCCCCTTCCCTGCTCGTTCTCTGTCTCTCTCTGTCTCTCAAAAATAAATGTTAAAAAAAAATTAAAGTTTTTTTCTCCTTAATTTCATGGTGATTGGGTTTTCCTTTATTAACAATAACATATTTCCCCTCAATATGGTAGCATGGAATTATAGAAGATTTTCTTAGAAAATTTTCATTTTCTTTGTGTTTTTTTTTTTATCATTTCAAATGATATATGTTTGTGCTTTCAGTCCCCACTCCCTGCTTTAGATAATTATTTAGTAGTATTTTACTATCTCCCTATACTCCTGGAAAGAGCCAGGTTTGGGTTCCTTTGGGTGGGGAGTATAAATTAGCTGGCTCCTTAACTTTGTTCCAGAGAATGATCAGGGAATTAATGTTGCCGATACTTAACCTGGAGCTGATACTCAGTGGAGCATGTCATTCTTAGTCATGTAAGAAGCGGGTGTTCCTGCAACACAGGGGTTTGTAAAAAAAAAAAAAAAAATGAGAAAAAAGTAGGTGTATTGCAAACCAGTGCCTGTGGTGTCTAGCCTGGTCTCTCTCCCTCTCTCTTTTTTTAATTATTAAAGGATTTAGTATGTTATGGGTGCAAAGCATACTATTGATTGCATTGACAAAAGATCAGTATTCCCTGATTCTGCGACTGTCAATTTAAAAATTTTTTTTGTTATAGTTGTTGAAAAGCTTGGTGTTATAGTCTTGCCAGTGTTTAACATGTACTGTGAACATTTGTTAGTATCTTTGCTGAGTTTACAGAACCTCACAGACCCAAGGTAATGTATTTAGGAAAAGCAATTAACAAGCATGTGATCATTCAGGTGAGGGAAAGAGTAGAGTCCATATTAGTCAAGTTGCTGTAATTTTAAAGAGTTTCATAGTTTATTAAAAATAGCTTAAAAACTATGAAGCTGTAGGGGCACCTGGGTGGCTTAGTTGGTTAAACTTCTGACTCTTGGTTTCGGCCTAGGTCTTGATCTCACAGTTGGTGAGTTTGAATTTGAGCCCCATATCGGGCTGTGTGCTGACAGTGCAGAACCTGCTTGGGATCCTTACCCCCCC